TAAGGGTGAGCTATTTATGGGTCGGTGGGCCCATGATACCTCAGATCATCAGGGAAGGGATGCAACGTATAGATGGGCTCGTGATCAAGGGGTGGACTTGACCATGGACATTGTCGCACAGGTTATCCATGAATGTGAAACCTGTGCTGCAGTTAAGCAAGCCAAGGGGCTAAAACCCCTGTGGTATGGAGGGTGATGGATGAAATATAAATATGGGGAGGCCTGGCAGATTGACTATATCACACTCCCACAAACTTGCCAAGGCAAGTGCCATGTGCTTATAATAGTGGAAGCAACCACTGGATGGCTGGAAACATACCCTGTGTCCCACGCCACTGCCCAGAACACTATCCTGGGCCTTGAGAAGCAGGTCTTGTGGTGACATGGTACCCCAGAAAGAATCGAGTTGGACAACGGGACTCAATTCTGAAACAACCTCATAGACACCTGGGCCAAAGAGCATGGCATCGAGTGGGTATATCACATCCCCTATCACGCTCCGGCCTCCAGAAAAAAATCAGACGATACAATGGACTGCTGAAAACTACATTGAGAGCAATGAGGGCTGGAACTTTCAAACATTGGGATACACATTTAGCAAAAGCCACCTGGTTGGTCAACACCAGAGGATCTGCCAGTTGGGCTGGCCCCACCCAACCAAGACTTCCACATACTGTAGTAGGAGAATAAGTCCCTGTAGTGCGTGTGAAGAGTATGTTAGGGAAGACAGTCTGGGTTAGTCCTGCCTCGAGCAGAGACAAACCCATCCAAGGGATTGCTTTTGCTCAAGGACCTGGGTACACTTAGTGGGTGATGCAGAAGGATGGGGAAGTTCGATGTGTACCTCAAGGAGGTTTGATTTTCGGAGAGAATAGCCAGTGAATTAGGCTGTACGATGTTAACTGCTAAATAACCTGCCAATGTATGTCATTGTATCTATAGTGTCTATATGCTATATCAAGGCTATTACAGTAAGAATTACCCAAATGACTGAAGGATGGACTTTGAAACCGGGCCAAGTGCAACAGTTATGGAACTTGAACTGGCGCCCAGCGATTTCCTCAAGATCAACATCTTCAACCTGCAGACCAGGAGCGTGGGTTGCACCAAATGTACCAGCCGCAAGCTCCAGAGGCAGCATGCAACAATCCAACACCTCCCACCATCTCTCCTATTCTGAAGGACTGTTACAACAGATGGAGCCCCAAAATCATGGACTAAGTAAAATTGATGGGCACAATAGAGGGATGGCCCATAGACTAAGGGAATGCTATTTGTGTGCGGGGGGGTGTCCATATATATA